CGCAACGTGTATGTGGAAATGCATGTCCCATAGAGACCAGCTCACATATTGCAATCTAGTGTAGAACATGTTTGTCATTGCAATTGTTTGTGGTTTGATTTTAAAATGCAATTATTATTCATTTAAAAAAAAATAAATAAAAATAAATTACAGGTTTGCTGTGCTTGTTTGCAGAGCTGTTAATAACTAATGATCTTTGCAATGGAAGTAATTAACTTTAGCTGGACAGTAACTTTATTCTAGAGCTGCTGTAAAGCCAAACAATCTCTGTTACTGTAATCTCCTATTATATATTGGTAAAGCACTGTATCAAGGTGACTTGACTTGACACAAACATTTCAGTATTTTAAAAGCATAGAGAGATCGGCTCGATTACGTAATTCGCAGTGCTTCGTGGGAGTGGGCGGAGCTTGTTTCGACTCTCTGATTGGTGGAATTTTCTGTACAGCATCATGGGTAATGTAGTTTTTCAATACTAATTCCACTGTTTTTGTTTGAAAACTAAGCCAAAATAATGCGGGATGATGGCTTCGGCAGCTCACAGTAGGGCTTCTTTAAAGGTTTCTAAGTTCATTAAAAATCTAGTTCTTTTTAGTTGCTAGGGTAATTTCCAGGTGGTTGTTAGGGTGTCTGGTTACAGTGTTCCGTTGCACAAACAGTGAAGGTCAAGTTTCCTTTAATATTATGTACTGTTAGGAGTTTGTTCAAGTCACTACCCCTCAATATGAGCAATGTTTAGAGTGGCCTTAGTCAACACCACTTTAAGTGAAGGTCGTAGTGAGTCTCTTTCTGAGTTATGTCTGCTTGAACTTTAGGGTTGGGAATCGAAAATCAATTCCAATTCTGGAATTGAATACTTGAGGTCAGGAAACAGATACTTGTTATGAAATGAGAATTTTGATTCCCCTAATGCTGTGTTCACACCGGACGCGAATAGCGTGTGAAATTCCCGCCTGACACGTCTGACGCTTGACCACTTTGTGTTAATTCGTGTGTCAAGAGTGAAACTGACATTAAAAACATAAAAACAATGGCCGCCAACGGATTTCGATTCTGACGCGCGTAAATTTTGCTTCAAACTTTTGTTTTTATGCACGTCAGAGTCGAAATTCGTTGGCGGCCATTGTTTTTATGTCGACCGAGCATTCATTGAGAGAGTTACCGCGTGGGTATACGAGTGGCGTGGGGATCATCGTCGCCGTATATTTGTGTCCACCGGACCCTTCGGAGGCAAACCGTTTGGCGAGTTTCACCATTTGCTCGCTCCAGGAGCTGCGCTGGATGACGGCCGCTGTCAGCGGTACTTCCGCCTGTCCCGCGCCCAGTTTGATGACCTGTTGTCCCGCATCGGAGCGAGGATCACCCTCGCCCTCATCCACCTAATCTGTCATTTATTTTTGTTTTGATGATAAATAGAGCCAGCCTTCAAAAGTTATTAACCTGTCCGGTGATTTTTTTTTCTCTCTCTCACGTCCAGACACGAACTTATGCACATATGTTGATTGTCTTTACATCATAATACTATTTCATATAATCTAGATATGGACTGAATAACATTCAATACAAAATGAACATGTCTCGTATATAGAAATAACGTTTTAAGTGATAAAATATTTGCTTTGTTGTGCATAATCCCACCATGAATTTAGCCATATTACAAAATAATTTATTGAAGCATTCAGCACGTGAGCAAGCAGCTAGGCTCCTGATTGGTTAACGCGGCGCGAATTCACGCCAAAGTTCACATTTTTCAACTCGGTCGGCAGACGCGAATTCGCGTCAAACGCGTGAATGCACAAATGGCACTAACTAAATCATTCACGCGTAACGCGCCAGACGCTCAATTCGCGCGAACGAGGCATATTCGCGTCTTCCGCACCACAGGAATTTTTGTACGCGCGTAACGCATCTTTGCATTGACTTAACATTGAAATCATTCGCGTCTGACGCACCATTATAGATTCCTTTGTGAGCATTTCAATGTGACCTTAATGTGACACTAATTGGGAAAGTTGTTTTTCTATGGTGTTTTTAAACAACAGGTAAAGTGCTTTGTGTACGTGATCTTTAGTTCTCATCTCAAGGCATCATATACTGACTCTTTTGCCAATGCGTATACATCCAACGCACATGGCACCCTTTAGCGTCAATATGAGACGCAGATATGGGCCAGAAGGCGCCTCCTAGTGGTCTAACCCTAATGGTGCGTTCACACCAGACGCGAATAGCAGAAATATTAGTTAGTGCTATTTGTGCATTCACGCGTTTCTCGCAAATTCGCGTCTGCCGCCCGAATTGAAAAATTTGAACTTTGGCGTCAATTTGCGCCGCGTTAACCAATCAGGAGTCTAGCTGCTTGCTCACGTGGTGAAGTGTCTGGAAGCTTCAATAAATTATTTTGTAATATGGCTAAATGCCTGGTAATTCACAACAAAACAAATATTTTATCACTTAAAACTTTATTTCAATATACGAGACATGTTCATTTTGTATTGATTGTTGAATGTTATTCATTCCATATCTAGATTATATGAAATAGTATTATGATGTAAAGACAACCAGCATACATGTGCATAAATTCGTGTCTGGACGTGCGAGAGAAAAAAATCACATGACAGGTTAATAACTTTTGGAGGCTGGCTCTATTTATCATCAAAACAAAAATAAATGACAGATTAGATGGATGAGGGCGAGGGTGATCCTCGCTCCGATGCGGGACAACAGGTCATCAAACTGGGCGCGGGACAGGCGGAAGTACCGCTGACAGCGGCCGTCATCCAGCGCAGCTCCTGGAGCGAGCAAATGGTGAAACTCGCCAAACGGTTCACCTCCGAAGGGTCCAGTGGACTCAAATACGGCGACGATGATCCCCACGCCGCTGTTCTGAGTAGACGCGCTACGCACAGTAACCCTACCTCAGACCTAAACCTACCATAACCCAAAGCGTGTTATATTGACGCTAAAGGGTCCATGTCCGTTGGATGTAGACTATTCGCATTGGGAAAGCGTCAGTATATGACTCCTTGAGATGAGAATGTTGTCTGGTGTTGTGCTTAGCAGATGTTACATGTGAGGTGTTTGTTTTGCATTTCGTTCATTAGTTTTTTTTTTTCAGAATCGTTAAATTGAATCGATACCCAACACTATTGAACTCACACGCTTCACACCACAGTCACAATGAAAAAAAGTTTCCTTTTCCCCTCTCTTGTAGTTCATGTTTAATGCATTTGAGCCTCGGTGATGATATCAAATGACCCTGTGCTTCCTGCGTATGCTCTCACCAACACACAGCGAGCGTTTGACACCGAGCCCAAAAGCCGAGACATTCGCCTCTTTATTCCTCCATGGGAATTCTCTCAGATGATGCAGGATTTCTATGCTGTAGACGTAAGTTTGCCTGTGGGGAATCGCTCCATAAATGCCTCTTTATGCACTGTCAAAGAGAGCCCAGAAACCATTGTGTGCAGCCAAGGACATGGTTAGTGTCATCATTTCTGTCTTTATGGAAAACATTCATTGTTTCTTTGAACCCTCGAGTTCCCTGAAGCCGCAGTCACCCCTCTATAGACGTCCCAGGCCATCAGACATCAGAAATCTAATGCTCACTATCGTTTTTTTTTTTTTTTTTGGCCGTAAAGGAGTTTTACAGTTGACAACAGACTAGGAATTGAAAATGGGAGATGAAATTGAAAGCAGCTTATAGTGGAGTGATGCAGATGGGATTTCTCTTCCCAAGCAATGGATCTGGCAGAGAGAGAGAGAGAGAGAGAGCGGAGGAGAGCTGAAATTTGCAAATACAGGAGTGACCTACTTCTTCTGGATGCTAAATCAATCACAGGCATCTTCAACCTGAGTCTTTCGCACTGTCTTTGTTTTTGACTAAATGATGTCAATTTAGTTGAGACTATGCTATTATAGTTCATTTTACCAAACGTAATGGTATCGATGGGAATGTCTTTGCATTGTCCTCTAATAAAATCTAGGAAATCCACTGTTATGTGTGCGAGCTCTTTGGATTTTAAAATGCCATATCATTTTTGTTAGATGACAATAATGGATAAAATAACAAAGATGTGTCAAACTGTAACAGTTCAATCTCCATAAACAAAATATAACAAGAACACTGAAAACCAGCGTGTGCAAAAGCTGCTTTTTTATAAGCTTTTCTGTGAATCAATCATGCTTTAGATACTGTTATTTTTTGTCAGTGTTTTAGTGACTTTATGACATACATCTCGTTTCCCCTGTTAAAGGAGTAGTTCACTTTAAAAAAAAAAACTTTTGCTGATAATTTACTCACCCCCATGTCATCCAAGATTTTCACGTCTTTCTTTCTTCAGTCGAAAAGAAATGAAGGTTTTTGATGAAAACGTTCCAGCATTTTTCTCCATAATGGACTTCACTGGAAACCAAATGGTTCAAGGTCCAAAAGACAGTTTCAATGCAAACTGTTCAAAGGGCTTTAAACGATTCCAGACGATGAATAAGGGTCTTATCAAGCGAAACGATCGCTCATTTAGTAAATAAACAACAAAGTTTAAGTTTTAGAAGCTCAAATGCTCGCCTTTCTCTGTTCTGTGTGACTCTCCTGTTCGAACTGGTTCATCAAAATGAACGAATCTTTTTCCGAGTCAATTTGTTCATTTCATTTGTTGAATGAACCAAATGTCATGAAAAAAGATTCATTCATTTTGATGAATGAATTTATTTCATAATTGATGAACTTTACACAGTTATTGAACTGAACTGAACTGAATCAACATTGAACTGAATTTTAAGAGAATTTTAGTCTTGTATTTGATTATAAAGCTTGCTTGGATTCATTATTTTACTGTGAATCTGCTTTAAAACAGATCTGTATTGTATGAAGGACTATGCAAGCAATTGCGACGTCTGGAGACAGTATGAATTAAGTTGAGAAAGAAATTGACCCCTTATTGATGATTTGAACATTTAAGATGCTCATCTAAACATGCTTGTGTGTGTGTTTTTGGTTACAGTTCCTGAAGACCTGTCCTTAGAAGAGCGAGACGAGCTGTCCAATATACGGCGCAGGAAAAAAGAACTGCTTGATGATATTGAGGTGAGAATGCAGTCGAAAATAAAGTGTGTGTATTATGTATTTATTGCTCCACATAATTCATCTATAGTGAGCTGCTGTTGCATTCTGAACAAACCTATTTTTCCTAAATGAATGCAACATAAAAAGTACTTGTTTCTCTGTTGGTTAAACAGCTTTAGAACATTGTAATAGGCATTTTTCCTCTGAAGCAACTTGCATTGTATTCAAGGTACGCTTCTTGGGCTCTACACAGCAAAATTGAGAGTGTGAATTATATAAACTCTGAGCAGAGTGTTCAATGAACACTGAAGCAGTGTTAAAGCTAATGAGATAATTAAGTGAATAATTGAGCATTATTGAAGACACCTGATGATAACAAGCAGAATCACTGAAGGAGAAAACCCGTAATTTTAAGTCACCATTATGGTGATCAGTGTTTGCTTTAGCTGGGCTCTTGACCCTAAATTTATTAACTTTAGATTTTGTTTGGCTGCTACATGTGAGTTATAACAGCCAGATGAACAAATAGTAAAGGTGATCTGATGATCACCAGAATGCACTGCAACATGCTTTATAATTGTCACCATTGTTGAGATTCATAGGCTAATTATTGATGTCTGTGTGTCTTAAAAAAATAAAAAGTGATCTGATGGTGTTGGTTGTGTTTCAACATAATCATTAATTGACCTGAATCTGGCTACACATTTTGCTGTGTAGTGTTTGAATATCACGTAGAGTCTTCTGTTTGATATGAACCTCTGTTTTCCAGCGCTTGAAGTTTGAGATCGCTGAAGTGATGACAGAAATCGAGCAGCTCACGTGTGTGGGCGAGAGGTGAGTTGTGAGAGATGGGAAATGTTGCCTTTTCATTGCAGCTCATGCAGATTTGCACCTGTCTGTCTTTTGTCTGAGTGTCCTCACTGATCTGTCCTTTTCTAAACATTCATAAGCGCTCTATTCAGACTGTGTCGTCTGGTTGACAGGTCACCTGCAGGAGATGTGTGCTGTACGCACTTACGTCTTTTATTGAGCTTTAAACAGGAATATAGATTGACTATAGTGCGAGTAAATGGATGCTGAATATAACCCAAAGTGTTAGTTTTTAGTTAAATCATGTGATAAGGAATACATTTTTTTTTTGGTTTATCTGAGATCTGAGAACTCAAAACGTCCTTTCTTTGTCCAAAAAGGCTATTTATTGAAAATAAGCTGCACTAATTTTCAGGCAGATTAATGCATTTAAACATGCGTCCATGTTCATGTAATTGAGGTACATTGGGTGTTCAGCAACTTAGATACTATAGGAAGGTGTAGCCTATATTCCTAAACACCAAAATATTCACAACTAAATAAAAATAAAGTTACTATTTTAAACTATTTTCTCTTTTGGAAAAAAAAAAAACGGATATATTATTTTCTTAAGAATGTTCTTTTCTAAAGATCTGTCATGGTACAAAACAAGGCAGTGGAGTGTAATATCTTGATTACAGTGGTTTAATTTTTTTTTTCAAAAAAACTGATGCTTAGAAGCCAATACAGAAGAACAGAATCAACACAATCAACACACTCAGGGCACGTTTATTTAATGATGTACTAAAGACAGAAAAGTTGTTCCTTTCATTGTTCACGTACAGACGGCAACGTTGTTAAAACGATCCCCGTTCACACGAATCCATGAAAACGACTAAACGTGCTGTACTATTCATGCCAGGCCAATAGTTGGCGTCGTCACTTTGTAAAGAAACACTACGTGCCTATAGACTGAACACGTAATCACCGTTTTCATAAATTCATGTTTTTGAAGTTAACACATATCGGCATTGTTTTCAAAATCTCGCATTTTTGAAAGTTTTCATTTTCCGGCCCCTAAAACGCTGTTGTTGTGTAAACGAATGGGCATAATGCGTAAATATTTTTCTTTTTCTGTTGAAAATGGTGTTGTGTAAATAGCCACTAAATAGGAGAAAAATAAATTGAACAAGAAACAGGTGCGCAAAGCAATCAGTAACCATGGCAACAAACAAGGGCATATTCGGTAACCTAGGAAACAGAAAAGAAGCGATAAAATGGGGAACAAAATGCAGCATGAATAAAACAAACAATGAAATACAAACTAAAAGTCCATAAACAGAACGATCGTTACAAGATCGATCTTAAAACAAAACTATTATTTAGACAAAACTAAACTAATTTAAATTCTCGATAAGTTCTTTTGATAAATTCTTGAACTCTTCATGAAAAATGATGAATAAATAATTGATAAATCAAAAATAAATGAATCAAAAGTAGAGTTGTTCTTGCAGGTTTTCTGTAAGAACAATCAAATGAACAGATAACATCTAAGCCTGTAATTTCCTCAAGAAAATATTTAAGAAATCCCTCTAGAATTGCACTTAATATTCTTACATACTAATTCCTTAACTTCTTTCTTACAATGATTTTTGTGAATCTACCCTTAGAAGAAATGGTAGCTGGTAAACTGATGCTGTACATTATAATTAATAGTTGAATCAGAATGATACATGCATTTTATATATATATATATATATATATATATGTGTGTGTGTATGTATGTAAATATGTATGTGTATATATGTGTATGTATATGTATGGAAATTGTCAATGTTCTGAGACACACATGCACACTTTTTTTAATGCAATTTGATCATAAGAAACAACATTTATGGGCCATTTGTTGTCAGTGAAACGACTTTCCTCAAGTGGACTTTGATAAGGCTCTAAATCAGGACTTGCCTGTAATCAGGACTGTTTGATAGTTATGAAAGTGTTGTTTGGCACGTTGTATCCGCAGGCCAATCACTCTCAAGAGGTTCTTTGTCCGCCTTCAGTCTTATTAGGGGATCTTTGTTAAGATCTTTGTTACTTCCATTTGCAGCAAAACAACACAGAGAAACAAACAAATTGCAATGGGAAGAAAGAAATTCAACATGGACCCCAAAAAAGTAAGTCATATTATATATTTTCATTCGTTCCTAAATGTTTTAATACTTTTAAAGCCTTTTTTTTATAGTAGGCTATCACTGAGCGACATTTTCCCTGACATTTGGAAATTTTCCACATACTATTCCTGGCATTTATATTTCCTGGGTTGATCCTAAAATCCGTGTTTAAATCAACTTTCTCGCAGGGGATCCAGTTTCTTCTGGAGAACGACCTCCTGCAGCAGACGCCTGAAGACATCGCTCAGTTCCTCTATAAAGGAGAAGGCTTGAACAAAACCGTCATTGGGGATTACCTGGGTGAACGGTAAACCTTGGCTTCATTCCTTCAGTCTCTGACTTGTCTGGGTTTAGTGAGTAAAACAGGAGCAGTGAATGGATCACCAGACTTGTCAAAACAAAAGGATTTCATGAAGCACAGCTGTGACGCAAGAGTCGAAGCCTGCTGAACATCACAAATGATCTTAAAAATCTACTTTTTAATGACAAGCAATTGAGCTTTCTTTGCAGAAAGTGACCGTTTCTTCTGTGTGTGGTTGTTGTTTTCTCGTAGGGATGATTTCAACATCAAAGTGCTCCAGGCTTTTGTCGAGCTCCATGAGTTTGCCGACCTCAACCTCGTTCAGGCTCTGAGGTGGGAACAGCTTCTCTGCATTAATTTCCAATTAATGAACTGGTTTCTATTTTGCTCAAAAATTCCCCTTTTTATCGTATGAAGGAAAATCACGTCAAACTTGACCAATAATATTTTTTTATTTTGCAGTGTGAAATTATTTTAATGACAATTAACTATTTTTAATATAAGTTTTTGACAAGTTGGCAAAACTCAATCATTTTTAAAGAATCTGTTATATCAATTTTTTTTAAGTTAAGAAATTCAATCTACGCTGAACTGGCAGTTTTGTACTCATACATTTAAATTGCTCTTAACTTAAAAAAATTGAGTACTAATTTATACATTTAACTTAAAAATATCATGTAATCTCAACTCAAATATTTTAGTAGTGTAAATTTGGCTAGCTTTAACAACTAGCCAAATAATTCAGTAAATGCTAACTTGCTAATTGGCAGCACAATGCTTTGATAGCACTAGAAGAGCAATTGGTGAATGAGGATGACAGTATAAAACAACATACATGTTCTCAAACCAATTAATTCTGTTTCGGAATCAGAAAGTTTTAGTCAAATTTAAGTTTGTCTAAATTAAAAGAAACAAGTTCATAAACCCAATTCAAAACTCAAAACTCAACAATTCATATTACTTCAAACGTGTCAGTTTTGTGAACTCAGAAAAAAAAGAAAGTTCTAAATACTCATAAACGAATTTGTTAAATTTAAGTTTGCCCTACTCAAACCGAGGGTTTGAGTCGTGACTGATTTTCTGAGGGATTTGCTGTCTCCACACAGGCAGTTCCTCTGGAGTTTCAGACTTCCCGGCGAGGCTCAGAAGATTGACCGAATGATGGAGGCGTTTGCGTCCCGGTACTGCCAGTGCAATCCGGGAGTCTTTCAGTCCACAGGTCAGACATGAGCAGAACAGCCAGTGTCCATACTAATGCAGACCTTGCTTCTGTCCCGCTCCGTTTCAGAGAGATGTTGGTCAAAAAAACATCAGTTTAGGCCCAAAACACACCCAGTCGAAATGCATCTTTCTAGATTGTTTATGTTTATCCTTGTTGCATTCTCAGCATTGCTGCAAGGATAATTAGCATAACTGTGCATTCACACCTGACGCGAATAGCGCGTCAAATTTGCGCCTAGATATACTCTTGAACACTTTGAATCTGTTCGCGTGTAAAGGGCGAAATTGACACATATAAAAACAAAAGTTTGAAGCGAAATTTACCGCAAGTCACCAGGAGAGCAGAACAGCAGCGTGGGGCATGTTACAAAATAATTTATTGAAGCATCCAGATCCTTCCCCTCATGAGCAAGCAGCTAGGCTCCTGATTGGTTAACGCGGCGTGAATTGACGCCAAAGTTCAGATTTTTCAACTCGGGCGGCAGGCGCGAATTCACGTCAGACGCATGAATGCACAAATAGCACTAACTAAACCATTCGGGCTTACCGCTAGACGCTCAAATCGCGCCATTCTCATGAATGAGGCGTATTCGCGTCTACCGCGTCGCAGGAATTTTCCGCGCGTAACGCATCTTTACATTGACTTAACATTGAAATCACTTGCGTCTGACGCACTATTCGCGTCCGGTGTGAACGCACCATTAGGTTTTCTCTTTCAGGGGCGCGTTCCCCAAAAGCATCATCATTACTAACATAGTTAAAGCGTTTTTCCCGAAACCATAGATCCAACAAACATTCGCAAACAGCGTTGCAAACATTGCGTGGTGGGAACTTCAGTTCTCAAGCTGTGATAAGATACACTCAACACAATAATGTGTATGCTTAATTAAAACATAATTAAGGCAACAGTTTGCATCAATGTTTTGAGTTATTATGACATCTTTGAGTGAATTTACGTTCAACCAACAAGCTAAATTACGTAAGAGGAACTTAATCATTTGAAGCATAAACACACATTTTTAAGTTTATTACTCAAAAATATTAAGTTGATCCGACCACCAGAGTTGTAGCTCTGGAACCAATTAATCTAATCTAGCTATCATAGCACATGCTAACAGAACTTTTTAATGAACACGTAAGATATTACATTAGCATCGCTTGTAGAGTCAATGCAGTGTTTACCTTCCTGTATCTACTCTACTCTTACAGAAACTCATTTAAAGCATGCTGAGAACTAGAAATGCATTGCTTAATTTCCTAAGTTATCGAGACAATTTCATTAAGTTACTACAACCTATTTTTTTAAGCAAATTAACACAGAAATTTGAGTTTAAATTACAGACGGTATTAAGTTGATGTAATGATCAACATTATTATGTCAGAACTCTAAATACTCAACTCTAACTCAAAATATTTTTTGCAACTTTAAAGGTTTGATTAAAGGCCAATTTCTACTTCTGCGTAGGGTGCGCGCAGTAGGTACGGCGTAGCATACGCAGAATGTAAGTACACGTCGCGACGACGCGGACTGCAAAATCGGTGATTGGTCGGCTTGGTAGCATCGCATTTCCTCCTACACATGTCCGCACGTACCTTCTCACGCATTTCCACACATACCATCTCCTCCGACGTCTTCTCTCATTTCTGCCTTTCAGTTTTAGTAATTTCACTAAAATTAACTGTATTCCACCTCAATAAGCTACAAATCCAACATGATCCGCTCTCTTTCAGGCTTGTAGTAACCTAGCCGTGACTCGAGGAATCTAAACAGTGGAACATTAAAACCCTCCATCGCCAACTAGCGTTTCGGAGCAGTACTGCAGAGCAACCAAGACCTGAACGCAGAAGTATAAATGCTCACAACGGCGTCGCCTACGTGCGTAGCCAACGCCGTACACTACGGCGACATTTCATTGCAACCATGCATTTATTTAAGTTGTGGTAACAGGTCCCCTAAATTACTTTTTAGATACACAGTTTCTTGTTATAATGACTCAAAAAACAAGCTAACATGCAGTACAATATATAGCTTTCACCCCATTTAAATTTAGTCTATATATTTTAGCGTTGTTAAGAGTGCGTATGTGCATAAACGCGTCAGAGAACCCAGTAGTGTGACGTATGAATGAACCGACAATTAATCAAACATCAAAAATAACAAAACAAAAACAGTGAAGTAGTCCTCAGTTTGTTACTGGGGCACGCTAACGTATGCTAATGGCTTTATATTGTCGATGCAAACCAACTATAATAATATTACGTTAATTGTGATCTCGTTATTTCTCCAACACCTGCATGTGATGTCGGGGTTTGGTTTTGGTTAGTTTACTTATAATTATGCATAATTTACTTTTATTACTATAGTAACGTGTAACTTCGTCACCTTAAAATATGTTGTTACTGAACATTTCTTTGATTGTTTATGGTAATGAAACGAGTCACAAACGGTGAGAAAACAGCTCAGTCTGGCAGAAAAATATAGACCTTTTTCAATTTGGTTTATTTATGCCAATTTTCTCTGTGACGAGCCCTTAAATCCAAACAAAGCTTCCCTATGTGGATATAAATTATACTAGCAGTCAAAAGTTTGGAATAATGTTTTTGAAAGTAGTCTCTTCTGCTCACCAAAGCTGCATTTATTTGATCAGGAATACAGTTAAACCAGTGAAATATTATTACAATTTAAAACGGCGGTTTTCTATGAGAATATATCATTTATTTCTGTGATCAAAGCTGTATTTTCATCATCATTACTCCAGTCTTCAGTGTCACATGATCCTTCAGAAATCACTCTAATATGAGTTGATGCTCAAGAAACATTTATTATTATTATTAATGTTAAAAAAAGTTATGCTGTTTCATATTTCTGGGAAAATCATGATACACTCTCATTCAATTATTTTCAGTTTCAACAATTATTACTGTTTATGTTGCAGACACATGTTATGTCCTGTCCTTCGCCATCATCATGCTGAACACCAGCCTCCACAACCCCAACGTCAGGGACAAACCGGCCGTAGAGCGCTTCATCTCCATGAACAGAGGCATTAATGAGGGCGGAGACCTGCCGGAGGACCTGCTCAGGGTAATCCTGACCATTAAAAAGTGGATAAATGTTTATTTTTATAAGAATATGGCGGATGGTTTGTCTAGATCAGACTCTTATTCCTCGACTGGGATCGTGTCGAGACTCCAAACTCACATTTGGACCCGTTGGACCTCATTGAAGTCACTATATGGAGAAACATCCTGGAACGTTTTCCTCAAAAAACTTAATTATTAAATTATCAGGAAATTTTAATTCTGAATTCCTCAGTCTCATTTGGGTCAGTTTCCATATGAATGACTTTAAATCTCTGAGGCAGTCATGATTAATGCAGTAGCAGCCATATAGGACTGCTTTAAATATTTTACAGAGGCATGCGTGTAAATGTGGTGAATCTGCATACATTAACAGCACTGATGTCTCTGCAGAACCTGTTCGACAGCATCAAGAGCGAACCCTTCAAAATCCCAGAGGACGACGGCAACGACCTCACACATACGTTCTTCAACCCGGACCGAGAAGGCTGGCTCCTGAAGTTAGGTCAGAACCAGACTCTTACTCTCAGGCCGTGTCTCCACCAAAGCGGTTTCAGCTGGCTAAAAACGCTAGACGAAAACGCCGAGCTGTTCTGGCAGCACAGTGTTTTTTCAGTTTCGTTGCTATGGTACAGAATATCCGCAACTGAGATAATTCGTTTCATAATAAAAATCCAAATTCATCCATGTTGTTGGGTTTGCTCTGCTGGTTGATGTCGTTGTACAGAAAGAATGTTGTGACAGTTGGTCGGTGTGGTATTAGTCCCGCCCCTCCTCCACTGTGATTGGACGGCTGGGTAAAAAGTGACAGTGATGAGCGCTGCGTTTTACCTAAAGTTGAACATTTTTCAACTCTCTGTGCCAGTAAAAAATGCCGGGCACTCAGCGCTTCAGCGCGGAAAAACAGCTCAGCGCTTCGTTACGCTCATGATGTTTAAAAAACGCGACGCTCAGATTGACAACAATTGAAAACATACGCCAGGCGCGTGAAAAAACGCTTTGGTGGACACACGGCCTTACTCTTACTCTCTTACTCTTACTCTCTTACTCTCTTACTCTTACTCTCTTACTCTCTTACACTTATACTCATACTCTCTTACTCTCTTACTCATACTCTCTTACTCATACTCTTACTCTCTTACTCTTACTCTCTTACTCTCTTACACTTACTCTCTTACTCATACTCTCTTACTCTCTTACTCATACTCTCTTACTCTCTTACTCATACTCTCTTACTCTCTTACACTTATACTCATACTCTCTTACTCTCTTACTCATACTCTTACTCTCTTACTCTTACTCTCTTACACTTACTCTCTTACTCATACTCTCTTACTCTCTTACATTTATACTCTTACTCTCTTACTCTCTTACTCATACTCTCTTACATTTATACTCTTACTCTCTTAGTCTTACTCTCTTACTCTCTTACACTTACTCTCTTACTCATACTCTCTTACATTTATACTCTTACTCTCTTAGTCTTACTCTCTTACTCTCTTACACTTACTCTCTTACTCATACTCTCTTACTCTCTTACATTTATACTCTTACTCTCTTACATTTATACTCTTACTCTCTTACTCTCTTACACTTACTCTCTTACTCATACTCTCTTACTCTCTTACTCATACTCTCTTACTCATACTCTCTTACTCATACTCTTACTCTCTTACTCTTACTCTCTTACTCTCTTACACTTACTCTCTTACTCTTACTCTCTTACTCATACTCTCTTACATTTATACTCTTACTCTCTTAGTCTTACTCTCTTACTCTTACTCTCTTACTCTCTTACACTTACTCTCTTACTCATACTCTCTTACATTTATACTCTCTTACTCTCTTACATTTATACTCTTACTCTCTTACTCTTACTCTCTTACACTTACTCTCTTACTCTCTTACTCTTACTCTCTTACACTTACTCTCTTACTCTCTTACACTTACTCTCTTACTCTTATACTCTTACTCTTACTCTCTTACATTTATACTCTTTCTCTCTAACTCTTACTCTCTTACTCTCTTACTCTTACTCTTACTCTCTTACATTTATACTCTTTCTCTCTTACTCTCTTACCCTCTTACTCTTACTCTCTTACTCTTTACTCTAATACTCTTACTCTTTCTCTTATACTCTTTCTCTTATATTCTTACTCTCGTACTCTCTTACTCTCTTATACTCGTACTCTTTCTCTTACTCTTACTCCAATACTCTTCTCTTACTCTTTCTTTCCTTTAGCAGACATGCCTTATCTCTTACGGACAAATAGAGTCAGTGCTTCTGCATTTCTATTCGATACAGTGGGAAATTAAATTAATTGTGGAGGATTTTATCTTTGACAAGGTGATTGACAGGTCAGTTTACTGTGTTATAAACGCAATCGTATGACGGGATAGTTTGTCTCAAAGCTTGTCTACTCTTCTGCTACACACTCAACAGTATTCACTTTTTATTCACAAGAAGAGTACATACTTTTAGGGCGTAGTATAAGTAGGTGAAGTGAGACCCAGCAATAGTGAAAGTGTGCAAGTGTCAGTTGAAGCTGGATGCTGTACATGTACATGAAGTCAATTTACTTTTTAAATGTCAGCTCTCAGACTTTAATTTGTACATCCTGAGGCTCTTGACGGATCTGCAGAATTACGAGAAAAGTGTGTTACGCCCGGTTGTAACTTTAAGCAAGCAGCATGTAAACCACTGAAACACTGTTTATGAGTCATTTCACTTGGTAATCTGATGTAAAGAGAATCTGGCGAGCTCTAATCTGATTGGATGACATTATGCTTGTTTCAGTCCGTCTAGGTACAGAGTTGTGTTTATACAGTACAGGGGGGAAGAATTACTGTATTTTGCCACTTTTGCCAGGTTACTTGCGTCAGATCTGTAAAAGATATGAAAAGAGTTTAGAGGTTTGATAAAGATCGTTTGAGAGTGTGATTTTGCAATAGCAGTGGCTATTTTCACCAAAGTCCCTTTCAAGGAAAGTCTGTTCATTCGGCAGCCATATTTCCAGCCACAAGACCAAGTCCTGTATATTTGATTGGGGGAATCCTGAAATCTTAAAAATTGCTTGCTGAATTCACAAATAAATCAGCAACAAAATCTGACATGAACACAGAATACAACAAAATCTAAAGTTAAACATGTAAAGATCAACTGCCCAACTAAACCAAACACTGATCACTACAATGGTGACTACAATTTGAGATTTTTGTGTTCTTGGAATGTTAGAAATCAACATTACCATCATGTTGAATTTTTAATCGAAATTACGTTTAATGAACGTTTGAGGAACATTATACCTTTTGAAAACACATTTCTTTAACGTCAAGAAAACTGGACATTTTTCACGTTCCCAGAACCAACAATGAATATTTGGAGAACGTTCTCATAGCTGGGTTGACCTCTCGTTCAGATGGTTTCTTCCTGTCTTCTAAGTGTATAGTTATTGAATAAGCTGCGGTGTGAACCAGACTTTATGCCGATAGTCAAATGTCTGGCTTTGCATGGGAGCGAAATCCCGGAAATGCCGGATCTGATCCACAATTGAAGCCCTGCAGGGATGTCTACACAGAGCTGATGTGTTTCATATGTATGTGCCTTTTTTATTTGTTTGTCAAGCGTCAATTGATGCATGTTTGTGTCTTTCTAATGTCCCGTCTCTCATTTCCTAAGATTATCTGTGTCATTTCTGTGTATTAGTATGTGTTTATGTTGAGCGTTGCGTCTTGTTTTCCTAACACCCCTTGACCCGGCGTTCTCTACAGGAGATACGTGACATAACCAAGATAGATAACCTTTTCATCTCTGTAGGCTTATTGTTAGGTCAGAGGTCAGAGGTCAGTGTACCATACCGGAAGACAGTTTGACTTAAAAACAAGTGCATACATTTACATTTATGCATTTGGCAGACACTTTTATCCAAAGCGACTTACATTGCATTTCAAGGTACACATTTACATTCTTATCATTTCTTGGGAATCGAACCCATGACCTTGGCTTTGCAAGTGCAATTTGTAGCACTTATTTATGCTGCTAGCTACCATAAAGTAAGAAATAGTAATAAATGAGTAGGTCACTAACCCAAAATAGCTGTAATATTAGTAAATCTGTTCACTCTTTCGCCACCTTTGACATAATTGTATGTGTTTTCACTTTTATATGGTAGGTATCGCTATAACATCCTCTTAAAGAGTAAATCTCCTAATCCAAACACATTGCTTGTTCCTGATTCTTCTTCGTCCATGTAAAATAACAATTATCAACATAAAAACCAGTTAGGTGCACATGGTTGTATTTGTCGGATTGGCTCTGGACACACAAATTCCTTGTTTTCTATGTAATGTCCCGGTAGACCTATGTACTTTCTAATAATAACAGGAAACACATTTATACCCACACAATCTTCATGTGTTTCTCTCAGCTTTACAAGGTGGGAAGCTTTTTACACTCAAATAATTGTGCTTTTCCTCACTAAAACTATTCCTGAGTTGGATCTGTGGAAATGTACACTAAAAATCTGATTAAACAAATATGCACTTATTTAAGAACAAGTATTTGTTCAATTTCATTTTATTTAAAAAGTTTACTGCTGAACGTCCAGATAATCATATTTTCTCAATGTTCAATACATTCGTGTTCACTGGACGAAATCTGTAATAACTTTTAACCTTTTAAATTTTTAACATGACAAAGTTTAATGAGGCCAGTATAAGCATAACCATAATTTTAGAAAGTATTCATTTTAAAAACACTATTTTAAACATTAAAACAAGCTACATTTAGATTGAATTTATTTTATTAGTGTGTCAGGGTAGATATTCCAAGGAAAAACTAATATGTTTGAAATGTTATGTAAAGTTTTTTTCATTACCATTTCTGTTAACCAGAACAATTAATTCATATTCTATTAATTTAGCCGACTTTTTTAATCGAAATGAGGAACAATTTGTCGTAGAGCCTTCAATATTAAAAGTACACAGTACCAGGTTTAGTAAAAAATTGATTAGTTAAGCCAGAACAGAAGTGAAATGCAGCTTTTTTCCCTAGTTCATTCCCTAGTTTACCGACGTGCGTCTGTGGAGGGGAAAATCCCGCTTTGCGCGCGTGCAAAATAGGAATGAGACATGCGTTTGTGTATAAAGTCATTTGCGCCGGGTGCAAGATAGAGCCCTGAGTGTGGACTCATATAAACACTGAAGCAGTGTTTATCACCATCAGATCATCATTCTATGTGTTCATCTGGCTGTTATAACCCACATACCGCAGCGACACAAAATCTAAAGTTAATGATTTATGGGTCAAGAGCGCAACTAAAGCAAACACTGATCATCATAATGGTGACTTAAAATTGTGGTTTTCTCCTTCAGTGATTCTGCTTGTTATCATCAGGTGTCTTCAATAATGCTCAATCATCACTCAATTATTCTCTTTAGTATCTCATTAGCTTTAAACCATTACCTTTTTACCATTTGAAAATGTCATTTTTGGGGCCTGCTTAAAAATGAGCTGTTTTGGTGCATACAACCTTGAATGCAAATGAGCTGTATATCCCCGCCCTGCCTTTGGATGAGGGCGTAACTTGATACCTATGGCAGTCTGTAAGCAGAAGGGCTGAGAGAGTGAGAGACCCGCTGTTTTGAATGTCATTCAGCCGAACATGTTTGAATGAGAATATATGGAGAGTTCAGATGCAAAAGCCTCTAAATGCCATTTGAAATTTTCTTCTAAAATGACCATTTTTATCAAGCTTGTATATTCAAGTTCAGTAATTTCACTTAAATGACAATTAATAGGTAATCTTCATTGCCATTTAAGTGAAATTACTGAACTTAAATATACAAGCTTGATAAAAATGATCATTTTAGAAGAAAATTTCAAATGGCACTTAGAGGCTTTTGCATCTGAACTCTTCATATAAATAGTCTCTGATCAGACCCAGATGACGAAGAGACTCCGGCAGAATAAACACAAATGAGAATGGACCGGTACATCTCGGTATGGTTATTTGATACATTTATGTACTTATAGAGTTGTGATATAATATAGAGTTGTAATATAATATAGAGTTGTCCCCTTTGAAATTATGGATGTGCAAAACACACACACAGACGCACACAAACACTAACGTTGGCGCAATTTTTTTAAACTAGATACTCTATCATACTGTGATATGAAAAATTGCTACGTACAAGCGAAATTACATTTATGCGAGGGACCTGTTGCGTCCAGAGCCGGCTTCAGACCGTTTTTAGCAGGGGGGCATTTATTTTCAATGGGTGGGCACTAGGTATGACTTTTTTCGGATATCAGATATCCTATATTTATTATTGCTACTGCCTTCTGTTAGCTATTACCATGAAGTAATGCAACCCACACAATAAACACATAAAGTTTAAACCATTACACATTGCAAGATAAGCGACTCTTAAGAAATTTGATTAATTAAGGGTTAAATAGGCCTATACAAAAAAAAAAAAAAAATTGCGAGACCGACTCTGACCACAGCTTTATAATAGCAAAGCTAACATGCACACAGTCTCTCACTGACAGAATAGTCGTTATATGTCTCAATAGCGGAAGAGAGAGAAAAAAAGCTAAGTTACTCATCTTTATTCTGCTTTGTTCTAACATAAGCATTTACATTCGTAGCCTACTATTTAAAAAAAGCATCATGTAGTTACCTTCATCAAAACAAATTAAAAAACACCCACAAATACAGATATTATTCTACAATTTCCATTTACAATAAAATATAACGTTAGGCTTAAACACCTGTTTCTCCACGGTGGGAGTGAGTGACATTTCAGGACAATGGGCAGCGCAAAAAATAGGCCAACTAAACTATTAGTCATATCACAACATAACGTGACAAGACAATATAGCGAACATTTACAGTACATGCCAGTTAGATAAATGCACTAACGACTCGGACTCGACTGTCTTTGGTCTCGGTCTCGACTCGGACTCGAGTGAGCTGGTCTCGACTACAACACTGCACGGTAGAAGCACCAAATACCAAAGCCGGGCTGTCGTTGTCTTGCTGTATGGGGGTCAGCAGAATCGTTAATCGATGTGTAAGGAGAAACTGTGGTATTGAACCATTTTCTAATGTCCATTTTTGGAGAGTTTTCATCTGTTTGTTTTGAATGCAGGAAGGAAGCTTTCGCGGTCGCGCCAACTGAAAATCATTTCATTCAAGTAGGCTATTAACGTGCGTGATTGGGGGGGCGGCAGGGGGGTTTCCTCAGAGCGTCACACTGTGGTTTTTATGTTGGCTTTATTGTATTTTCAGCTAATGAGCCATTTGTAGACATATATTTGTACTATTTCTCACTGAAATGTGAATTAAATTAAACTGATATTATTTTGTAAATTATATCATAATTCAATTTGGGGGGGCATAAAACACATTTGGGGGGGCATTGCCCCCTAATGCCCCCCCATACTGCCGGCACTGGTTGCGTCATGTTTACATTACTTGTCATACGGGTGCTTCTGTGGCAAATGTGAGAAGATGGCTAACTTACAGAACAACAACATATATGCAGTTTTTAATACAATATCTTTAAAAATATATATATTTATAAACGTGTGGTTACACACTATACAAACAAGGTTTAAATTATATACACAGACATCCTACGACGACGACAACTTTAGACGCATTTGTTATTGAATTGGCTGACATCGACTGAAAAGACTATTTGCTCAAAAATCATAAAATACACTTACTGTTACTGGAGGTGACGACAGTAGACGACGATCCACACTTGAGGATTAACTTTGAAGCAAGACCGGCTTTAAATTGACCCTCGTTCACAAAACAGTCAGTCAGAAAATGATTCGCTCAAACATAAACTGATTTACGAAGGAAAGGCGCTACTTAAACATCGAAAATACAATACATCCACAGTGTTTTCAGTGGCTCTGATGTCGGAAATAAGTGAAAACTACTATGTACTGTATGTCATTATTACATCCCATCCCACAACAGAAACACTTATGATTCTAGGAGATATTACCAGCTGTTGTTGAAACAATGGAGGATGGCGTACAAATCACCGAAGGCGGGGTCTATGCCACAACCACACTGTCAATCAAACCCCTTGCTCACTTTCTACGTCACAAAGAGCTGAATCTCAGAACAGCTCGTTCTGACACAGTGCAGATGATTTATTGGGATAAGGTAAAAAAAAACCACTGGGTGGATTTTTATCATTCTAGGGTGGTTTTGCTCACACACTGCCAACACACATATATGTTCAAACACCATGTAAAAGTGAATTTTGCATAATAGGTGCCCTTTCAGTGTTTATATGAGTCCACACTCAGAGTGTTAATTTAACACTGAGCTGGGGGTTTTGCTGTGTACCCACATACCTGGAAATCTCACTGTAATACTAATCAATCACTACATGTACTGTCCAAATGACCCTGATATTTGGTCTGTAACCCTTTGTCATTACCCCAAACCATACTGATCTCTCTGACGACATCATGTGTGTGTCTCTCGCTGCCATCTTTTATGACTGAGCTGAACATCAGAGTCGTGAAAGTAGATCATGGGAATAGAATTGCAAGTAGGGAACTGCAGAAAGCATGGCTTTAATCTCTCCCGATGCCAGCGGATGCGCGCTGAGCATCTGTGGGACGGCGTTGGAGTCGGGAGAGGGGGTGGATAAGCCTACAGCGTTGTGCTCGATACACCACGTTATTACAGCCGAAAACAGCACACACTACAGCAGGGGAACCATTGCAAATGAGTCAGAGGCTTTAATGTATATGAGTGTGTGGGGGTGTGAGAGAGAGACTGTATTTTTTTATTGCACCATTTTCTACAGCATGATAGTGGGCTTTGTACGTTTGCCATGCGATATTTCATTTAGTTTGATTGCAAAATGCAATCTCTTGTAAGGTATGTCTTTGTTTGTGAGGAATAACCCAAATAAGGGTTGCACTGTGATCCAAGACATCTGTCTCAAATAGAAATAACTGCAGCATTGCTCCTGGACATTTCTGCGTTTTGCTTTCTATGGTCAGTTGAAATCGAGTTGTGTGTGAAAAATAAGTGCACTTTAAAAAGAGTACTTATAATGGGAATAATAAAGAGTGAACTGAATGGATGTTTTTGGAAACATCTGCAAATGAATAAAAATATATTGTAGGTTAAATTTATATTAGGTGCAAATAGTTTCATCCGATTTAAGAGTGCTTTTTTAAAACCACTTAAGTAGGATTTAAAGTCCACCCTGTGGTGAAAATCCAGCTTTTAATGTTGTTTATGTGTCTGTGTGGTGTTTCTAATATGTTTTAAGACAAGTAAATTCATAAGTCGACAGCATTGCTGAGTGTTTTCAACATGGTTTGAAAATACACTGTGATTATTGGCGAACTAATGGAGACTTTGAACCAGATCAGACGATATTGTTGCTGATATTCCTGAAATGAGGATCTGGGATCTGCTAGTCATTGGCTCTATGCTCAGAAATTGGGGTCAATGGTTCTCCTTTTTTGTTTTCAGGTGGACGAGTAAAAACTTGGAAGAGGAGATGGTTTATTCTGACCGACAACTGCTTGTACTATTTTGAGTACACAACAGTAAGTAGATTGGTTTTCAGCATAATTTCAGGACTTGAGCCACAGCATGAGGGTTTGAGACGGTATTCTTGTCCCAGATGCATTTTGATGGGTTTCTCCTGACTTTAGGACAAGGAACCACGAGGAATTATCCCTTTGGAGAACCTCAGCATCCGAGAGGTGGAGGAACCCAGAAAACCTGTGAGTGCCCGAGCAATCGTGAACGTTAGAGCCGTGGAAACCTCATGCCTGATAGGATGTTGTGTCTCCTTGTGTAGAACTGCTTTGAGCTGTACAATCCCAACCATAAAGGACAGGTGATCAAGGCATGCAAGACTGAGGCCGATGGGAGGGTGGTGGAGGGGAACCATGTCGTCTACAGGATATCAGCTCCCACACCTGAGGAGAAGGAGGAATGGATCAAATCCATCAAGTAGGAAATAGTCTTGTTCATTTGCTGAAGAAACACTAACTTTAGCTGGGCATTAACTTTATTCTAGAGCCAAAACGATCTCTGTTATACTGTAAGGGCTGGGTAATAAATATCGATTTCTCGATATTAAGCAATTCTCATTTTTACGAACCGATATCGATTCTTAAATCTCAAGAATCGATTAGTCATCCTGTTTCATTTGAATGTATGGGACATTGTATCGCGGCTGCGTGCATCCAAAAAATCGCAATAATCTTTGTCTTTTGTTACTATTGATATGAAACAAAGTCTCAATTTTCAAATTACGTCCATTTTCTTTAGAAATTCAAAAACATAAATAGCGTTTTGTCGCTGTGGCGTGAGATCGCTCTGGAGAAGCAGCAGCGCTGATCTCTCTTCCGGCTTAATAATACCAGTCACAGCGCCAAATAAACATGAATGAGCATCTGAAAGTGAGTACAACTTATCGAAATCTGTATCATGTCACATTGATTCGCTCAATCAGCGTTTCAACCGTGGAAAGACGTCAGTTAAACAGCTTGTAATCAATGTCATCTTCATATTTACCTCAGAGAACCCACATAAACTCGTTAGTCAGCTAGAAAAAATAACTCTAGAGAGGAGCATTTTGCTAAATATATACACCATATTACATATGCATTATAATCTTAATGTTCTTCAATATTTAATGCATATTTGAATAAATCTGACAAGTTTTTATGACAGCCACCATTTAAATGTTTATATTTCATATAATCTTCTTATTATAAAAATAAATAAAAGTGTAATTTAAGTGTTTGTATAGCTACAAAACAGTTCATTATTACCTTCATATTAGGCTAATGAAGCCTATAGGCTACAACTAGACTCCCATAGTTTACAGCATTAGTTAAGGGATTTGATTCCCTTGAGAAAATTTGCTATTTATTGTAACTGATATCCAAAATAATCCATATTGAATCGAATCGAAATCGAATCGAATTGTGACATTTTTCTCAATACCCAGCCCTAGTAATTTCCTATAATCACTGTAACAATCTATATTGTTAAAAGACGACTTTATTTGACTTTAACTCTATAACAAAACCCAATGAGCTGCCACATTGTCAACAACAAGAACAAGCATAGCTAAATATTACGTTGATTCTTGCTTGTTTCACTACACATTCAAAGTAAAATGTCCAGTGAGTGGTGCTAATGCAGCCGTGGTTCAGCCGTCTTCCTAATCAAACAGACTTGATTCAAGTCATCAGCTCATTAGTAGAGACTCCAAGACCTGAAATAGGTTTATCAGACAAAGGATCAGCGTTTAGAGACATTTGGAAGAATGTTTTAATCCAACAGATCTCATTCCCCATTGACTACCAATGGGGAATGAGATCTGTTTGATTAAATCATTCTTCCAAATATCTTCCATTGTGTTCAGCCGAACAAATAAACACATAGAGATTTGGAACAACATGAGGGTGAGTAAATACTGACAGAATTTTCATTTTTGGGTGAACTAACCCTTTAAACACTCTTGAGCACAGTTAATTTAATTTTGCTGTGTAGTATCGCACAAGGAAAATAGATCTTTATTAATCCATAATCTGCCTATGTAATGTTAATCTGTATGAAATGTACAAGTAGGTACAGTATTTGGAGTTTTGCAAAGATGTCACGTTTTTCCAATGAGCACATGTTGGTAATTACTAACAGTGTAAAAATGCACCCCCTTTTTTGATGTATCGATGAAAACATCCTGCCGATTCAAATGCATCAATCTTCAAATTTGTGTGTGTTAGCCAATAATCATGTACAATTGACCTCTTTTTGGCCTTTGCTGCTTTTACTCTCATTGAAACATTTTCCAAACATGTCTGAGGCTTAATTCGTCTCCGGGCCGCTACAGTGATTAGCCTACGGTCATATTACACTCAAAAGTCAAATGTAAAAAATATATTTATGCATAAAAAAAAATAAAGTCTATTTTTAGGACCATTTCCTGTGGGTGGATTTTTAACAGCACTAGTGTTGATGGTGTTTAGTCTCATCCTCGACCCTGTGTTTTCATGTGGAGATTAGTCAGAGCTTAACCCCCAAACACACAAACCATCAACTCCAGGGACCAGCAGACCTGTTGCGGTCCTCGTGTCTCCACTAATCCAGTCTCCTCGTCTCTCAGAGACGTGCTGGAGGATGAGAGGCTTTATCACAAGCACTTTTTGCATAGTCTGCACAGTTATGTCCCACAATCCTTATCTGCTTATCTGTAATCATGCTTTATACGCTCGGGATATTGGACCATTCAGTCACGCTTTGGAAACAAAAACAAGTTCTTCTCAGAGGTTTTAACTCATTCGGTAGAAATACGTTGAAGCGGATGGTTTTGTCTGTGCGGAATTTAGAATTTACAACTCTCTGTTCATTCTGATAGAATCAGTGTAGAAATTGCGATGGCAATGTTTAAAATGCATTACTAGGGGTGTAATGATACGCTCATGTCACGATTCGATACATATCACAATACTGACCTCACAGGCACTAATCCATGAATTATTATTCCCTAATATTTTGAGCTGTGTAACAATTTAAATTTGCCTTTGTCTCTGGAGCTCACTTGTGAGGCCTTGAAATGCCGTCTACAAAGGCAACTCACTATAGATGTAGTCACCTAACAATAAAAGAAGCACTTTCTGCAGTGAAAGAGTTTCATGCGCCGCGCTAACAAGATTTCTAGCGTGAAAACTGTGGCAACAGCATTTGTGACTCTTTATATCAGTATAAAACCAGCCTTTAATCTTAGCATGTCTGGCCTACGCTATCTCACGACCAATTCGTACAAATTCAACGAATGATTAAAAAGTGTCTAATTTGTACGACCTCACTCGTACGATTTGTCTAAACCCACATGATGGGTAGGTTTAGGGGCGGGGTCAGGGGTAGGTCATTCGTACAAATTCATACAAATTGGCCAATTCGTAAAATATGAACGATTTAGCAAAATCGTACTAATTTGTACGACTTAAGTCGTATTAATTGTTACGAATCAGCCACTTTTTAATCATTCGTCGAATTCGTACGATTTGGTCGTGAGATCGGGTTGGTCTGGCCTTAGCAGTCACCTTACACGGGACAATCCCGAAACGCCACTCAAATGAGAGGCGGAGTCAAACATGGGTGGGGCGTGTCCTCAGAAACCATGGAAACCAAACTAGGTCACTGAACATTCCATTTGATGCAGGTCTGGCCTACGCTATCTCACGACCAATTCGTACAAATTCAACGAATGATTAAAAAGTGTCTAATTTGTACGACCTCACTCGTACGATTTGTCTAAACCCACATGATGGGTAGGTTTAGGGGCGGGGTAAGGGGTAGGTCATTCGTACAAATTCATACAAATCGGCCAATTCGTAAAATATGTATGATTTAACAAAATCGTACTAATTTGTACGAGTGAAGTCGTATTAATTGTTACGAATCAGCCACTTTTTAATAATTCGACGAATTCGTACGATTTGGTCGTGAGATCGGGTTGGTCTGGCCTTAGCAGTCACCTTACAACGGGACAATCCCGAAACGCCACTCAAATGAGAGGCGGAGTCAAACATGGGTGTCCTCAGAAACCATGGAAACCAAACTAGGTCACTGAACATTTCATTTGATGCAGGTCTGGCCTACGCTATCTCACGACCAATTCGTACAAATTCAACGAATGATTAAAAAGTGTCTAATTTGTACGACCTCACTCGTACGAATTCGTACGATTTGTCTAAACAAACATGATGGGTAGGTTTAGGGGCGGGGTCAGGGGTAGGTCATTCGTACAAATTCATACAAATTGGCCAATTCGTAAAATATGTACGATTTAGCAAAATCGTACTCATTTGTACGACTGAAGTCGTATTAATTGTTACGAATCAGCCACTTTTTAATCATTCGTCGAATTCGTACGATTTGGTCGTGAGATCGGGTTGGTCTGACCTTAGCAGTCACCTTACACGGGACAATCCCAAAACGCCACTCAAATGAGAGGTGGAGTCAAACATGTGTGGGGCGTGTCCTCAGAAACCATGGAAACCAAACTAGGTCACTGAACATTTCATTTGATGCCATTAAGACAGGGGTGTGTGTGCAAATATAGGCTGTATGTCCATATCAAAGATGCCGAAGTCTCTCACATGTCCTTTTAATTGGTTCCTTCAGAGCGAGCATCAGCCGGGACCCTTTCTACGACATGCTGGCCACCAGGAAGAGACGCATCGCCAACAAGAAGTGAAATCTACATCCAAACCTCTTCCTCAAAACCTGTTCACAGCAACACACACTGCCTACTGGGACAGATTTTGTGCAGATGTGTGATTGACGACGGGTTAGAGGAGCCCAGCGGCTGAAGAATCAATGTTTATAGTTTCTTTCTTGAGTTCCAGACAGCAACATGGTATCGGCCCGGATGTGGCCCGGATCTGGGCCGACACCATGTTGCTGTCTGTTTCTATTCATATAAAAACACAGCTGTCCTGACATGTTTGTATTTGCATGGATTAAATCTGTATACCTGGGCTCTCACTGCAGAAAAGCCATTTATTTCGGAAGAGACGAGACCTATTTTGGACGGCCGGTGTGATCGACAGTGACCCAGCCTTCATGGCCATTATGGTGCTAGAAGACTTCTTGTGTGCATGTGATCCAGTGCTAACGCTAGGTGGCGCTCTGGAGTCAGCTGGACTGATTTCATGTTGTTAGAGTGAGAAACAGCAAATATATAACATAAATATATAGAGATTTAAGCTGAATTCGAAACTGAAAACTACTCTTACTATTTTCACCACACAGAAACATAGTGTCGGCCCACATACACTATTCCACACATACCGGATGTGGGCCGGATCTGGGCCGACACTATGTTGCTGTGTGGGTTTATACGATTGAAAGATACCCAGACATCAACATACTGTCGGCCCAGATCCGGCCCACATGTGGAATAGCGGATGTGGGCCGGATCTGGGCCGACAATATATTGCTGTGTGGGAAGTAGGGCTGTCAAACGATTAATCGCGATTAATCGCATCCAAAATAAAAGTTTGTGTTTACATAATATATGAGGGTGCACTAATATTTTATATATATAAATACACACACATGCATGTATATTTAAGACAAAAATATTATTTATATATAAAATATTTATATTTATATATGATATAAATTACATATAAATCTATATACAGTATGTACATGAAAATATTTCTTAAATATATACAAGCATGTGTGTATTTATATATATATATACAGTATGTAATAATTATACACAGTGCACCCACATATATTATGTAAACACAAACTTTTATTTTGGATGCGATTAATCGTTTGCCAGCTCTAGTGGGAAGAGTAGTGTACTCTTAATTCAGCATCAGTTTCTGTTGTCCATCAGATGGTACCAGTCCATTAACCCTTTCCGTTCTGCTCTTAGATCTACTGTTGCATATGATGTTTTGATGTAATACAAATGAATTTGCTTGCTTTTGTGTTCTCTTTACAAGTATAGTTAAATATCTCCTTTTATATTTATTTTCTTTGTGAAATGATTTTATTCTAATCATAATTGGTAAACTATAGATCTAAGTTATGTGTAAATACTGTAAACATTTGTTCCTTTTTTTGTGTGTGTGTAAGTACAATCTGTAGCATATATAAATCTACTGGCTCTTTATTGTTTGGGCTCTTCGCTCAGCAGCCTTAAACTTTATGTACTTCTGTCAGGGAAAAAAAAAATCACCTTGTAATTCTGGAAAAAATAAGTTGTTTTTTTAAGAAGAAGAAGAAATCCAGTAGCAATTTATATGTGGTTGTAAAATAAAAGCCCTTTCCAAGGGTGGGATACTATCTCTAATGCCCTTTGGGGCTCCAGATTAATTTTTATATGTCTGTATAAGCTATTGGTCAAACTGTACATGAACTATGAATACATAAAACATTCATAAAGCTAAAGCGTTCACGAGTTGTTGTTTTTTTTCTCCACACATCACAGGGCAATTGGATTCAACTAACTTTGATCATGTACAGTGTAGATTTCTGACGCAGCCACAAAGTTTTTGAACAAACGGATTGATTAAATGATTCAAATCGAGTCCAATGAGAGGTATCACTGTTGATGATACACACACAGCAACATAGTGTCGGCCCAGATCCGGGCCACATCCGGTATTCCACACGTACCAGATCCAAGCCACATCTGGGTCTTGATAGAGAGATAAAAATTATATATAGACTGAATTATGGAGCAATGGCTTTGGTTCTTTGGCCTGATAGCAAATACTAGCTATCGAAACAAAACAAAATATTACCAACTAGCTATCAACTAATACAGATTAAGAACTCTTAAAGGAGTAGTTCATTTTTGAAAAACAACTTTTACTGATAATTTACTCACCCCCATGTCATCCAAGATGTCCATGTCTTTCTTTCTTCTGTCAAAAAGAAATGAAGGTTTTTTTTTTCAAACGAACGAATTGACTCAGAAAAAGATTTGTTCATTTTGATGAACGAGTTCGAACAGGAGAGTCACGAACGCTCATCACAGTACAGAGAAAGACGAGCGTTTGAACTTATAAAACTTAAACTTTGTTACTTATTTATTAAATGAGTGATAGTTTCGCTTGATAAGACCCTTATTCATTGTCTGGAATCGTTTAAAGCCCTTTGAACAGTTTGCACTGAAACTGTCTTTTGGACCTTAACCGTTTGGTTCCCATTGAAGTCCATTATATGGAGAAAATCCTGGAATGTTTTCATCAAAAACCTTAATTTCTTTTCGACTGAAGAAAGAAAGACATGGACATCTTGGATGACATGGGGGTGAGTAAATTATCAGCAAAAGTTTTTTTTAAAAGTGAACTACTCCTTTAAAGTTCCCCTGTCGCCAATAATTTTATCCCTTAAAATCATCTTTGATCGCCAATATGACAAATTTACACGTATTTTCCGTGAAAATAATTCTTCATGGCTTAAAATGTCTTGAATGTAACTCGATACCCTTGACTCATTTAGTATGCGTGGTTCTATGAATATGCAAATGAGCTCCGCCTCCACTCACTCACTCAAAGATCCACTGGTTGACGCGTTGATCACACGTTGATCTGATTGGTTACAATGTCGTCTGTGACGACACCAGCAATTTCAAAGCGTGTTTTTGAGACTGTCTGTGGTTCACACTGCAGTTACTTATGAATTTACACATGGTGTGTCTTAAAACATATTAAAAACACCACATAGACGCATAAACAACATTACAAGATGGATTTTTCACCACAGGGGGACTTTAATAAAACATTACGTAAAGAGATTGATAAAATACTTTGACTTTTTATGGAAAAACGTCTCAGGTTACGCATGTAACCCTGGTTCCCTGAGAGGGAACGAGAGCTGCGTTTGGAACGCGGTGGGAACGCTCTGCATGATTGCGTCGTGAAGCACGTGTATAATCTGTCCAATGGAAGAACAAGACGTCATGGGCGATGACGCCATGACCAGGAAAACTATAAAGCACCCCAGAAAATAGACCGCATCAGCTTCTGAAAAGGCCTGAAGCAAGTCGATCACAGGCATGCAGGAAGTATGGCAGGCGAACGCAGCTCTCGTTCCCTCTCAGGGAACCAGGGTTACATACGTAACCTGAGACGTTCCCTTTCAAGGGAACTCAAGCTGCGTTTGGAACGCGGTGGGAACTCCATACCCACGACGCCATATGACAAATGCCTGTACTGTATGAAATAGAATAGCACACTAAGACACAAGCACCCTAGACCCTGGAGTGGAGCCTAGGTCCAAGTCATAAAAACGAACAAATGTATGCGGTGAGGACCAACCTGCCGCACTACAAATATCGTGCAACGAAACCCCAGATATTAAGGCTTTAGAGGCCGCCATACTCCTAGTCGAGTGGGCGCGGACAGCTAAAGGTGAAGGCTGACCGGCCGCTTCGTAAGCAAGTGTAATAGCCTCAACTACCCACTTGCTCATAACCTGCTTGGAGGCAGGGCAACCTCTCTTAGTTAACCCGAAACAGACAAACAATTGATCTGATTTACGCCACAGGGAAGATCTGTGGACATAAGCATCCAAAGCCCGAACAGGGCACAGCAGATTAAGCTTTTCCTGATCAGGAGAGAGAAAAGGTGGAGGACAAAAGGCCTGCAGAACTATAGGACCCGACACATTAGTGGGTACTTTAGGAATATAACCCGGCCTAGGGTGAAGAAAAGCTTTAACCATGCCAGGAGAAAATTCCAAGCACGAAGGGGCAACTGAAAGGGCTTGTAAATCACCTATCCTCTTAATAGAAGAAATAGCAATGAGAAACAAAGTCTTAAATGTAAGGAACTTTTCCGAAATCTCCTCAATGGGCTCAAAGGGAGCCAAAGCCAAGCCTTCCAGTACCACAGCCAAATCCCAGGCAGGTGTTCTCGTGCGCTGAGCAGGCCTAAGCCTCAAAGTGCCACGGAGAAACCGAACAATGAGGGGATCTCTCCCCAAAGATAAACCACCCAAAGGAGAGTGGTAGGCAGAAATAGCCGCCACATACACCTTCAAAGTGGATGGGGATAATCCAGCAGAAAACCGTTCTTGCAAAAAATCAAGTACTGTACCAATCGGGCAGCTAACAGGATTACAATTGCGTTCTACACACCAAGTAGAGAACAGTTTCCATTTCAAAGCGTACAGTCTTCTCGTGGAGGGAGCTCTAGATTGGAGTATGGTCTCCACGACCTCAGTCGAGAGACCTGACTCTATGAGCTCGGCCCCCTCAGGGGCCAAGCCCACAGTTTCCACAACTCCGGGCGAGGGTGATAAATTGAGTCCCCTGCTTGGGACAGCAGGTCCCTCCTGATCGGAATCTCCCATGGAGAGCCGTCTGGAAGAGACACTAGGTCCGAGAACCAGACTCGGGCCGGCCAGTACGGGGCTACTAACAAAAGACTGACCCCTTCCTGGCGAACCCTCTCCAGAACTCCCGGAATCAGAGATATCGGGGGGAAAGCGTACAGGCGCAGCCTCGGCCAAACCTGACCCATCGCATCCAGTCCGAGAGGAGCTGGGTGCGTGAGGGAAACTATAGGAGGCAATGGCGCAACGCTACCCACAACAGCTCAGTAATGGCGCCCCTGCCCCAACAGTCTTTGAAACTGTTTCACAGTGAGTGACCGGCCTAGTTTCACCCCTTTTACGGCTGAGAGAATCGATGAAATACGTGCTGGAGACAACTGTGCCCGCATCGTTGTCGAATCCCATACCACACCCAGAAATTTCGTCCTCTGAGATGGGAGGAGAACACTCTTCTTGGCGTTGAGCCTCAGCCCTAGCCGTTTCAAATGGGACAGAACGGCATCTCGATGCCGAACTGCATCTGCTCTGAGTGAGCTAAAATCAGCCAATCGTCGATGTAATTTAACACACGGATGCCCTGGAATCTGAGAGGAGCCAGGGCTGCATCCATGCATTTCGTGAAAGTGCGGGGTGATAACCCTAGGCCGAACGGAAGAACCCGATATTGGTACGCTTCGCCCCCGAAAGCGAACCTCAGGAACTTCCTGTGATGAGGATGGATGGAAATATGAAAATAAGCGTCCTTCAAGTCTATCGTCACAAACCAGTCCTCGGACTGAATCTGTGACACTATCTGTTTGAGTGTAAGCATCTTGAACTTGAGTTTCTGAACTGTGTGGTTTAAAAGACGCAGGTCTAGAATAGGACGTAACCCCCCATCCTTTTTTGGAACAATAAAGTAGCGGCTGTAAAACCCTGACTCTCTGCTGGGAGGAGGAACCCTCTCTATAGCTCCTTTTTGCAGAAGTGTCAGTACTTCCTGCTCCATGACCAGAGCCTGCTCGGAGTTCACCACGGTGGGAAGAACCCCTATAAACCTGGGCGGACGAGAACCGAACTGAATTCTGTAACCCGATTGTATAATCTGCAGGACCCAATGAGATACATTTG